ACGAGAACGTCACCAAACAAAAGGTTTACAGAACAATGGCTATGCACCTGCGTTTTAAATCTGTGGGCACTTGCTGACCGTCCTCTGCAGAAACAACAAGGTAAAAAAGTCCAAGTTCTGCGTATTTTGGAGAACTTGAGTTTGTACGGCCAATTTAAAGAGTTTGAGCGTCCACGACTTATTTTCCAAATTTGCATTTGGGATTGAAAACCGGTATGGCGTAGTTAGCTTGAGCGCGTTTCCAGATCAATAAATGTACTGAACAGATCCAGGAAACTAAGAAATTCGAAGGTAAAATATACACTCAATTTTTACCAGAAGTAGTCGTCCTCGGCTTCGCTGTCTTCGTTGCTTAAGCTCCCTGATCACTGCTACGGTAGTGCCCGCTTAGCTGGAGAGTTGAAAATCGCAATGGTGAAAAGTGTCATTGATGTAGTTACGCACCGTTGAATGATCAGCAATTTTTCAGGCTGGGCTCTGTTATTTATCTATTTGTTCACGTTAGTTTTTTTTGAGAGAGAGATGGTGTACATGTATGTTGATTAATATTTCAGAAACGCCTCGCTGCTGTGTATTCGCCTTCATTTCCTTTGATGTTCCATCAATATGCTGAACTGCTAACCAACGAGGATAGACCGGGAAGATCAGCATCCACTGCAGGACAGAAGCTGAGACAACGAGATCACGAACCAAGGGAAGTGGCCGCCAAGATCACGTCTGAGGTTGAACCTCGACGGCTGCATACTCTACTTGAATCAGCCCACGATGTCGGGGGAATTAGCGTATTTATCTACCTTTTCGCTAAGGTGGGTACATGGTAAAATGTATGTTTTTTTCAGGCGAAAAGCATGATCTTTTGTTAAGTACGAACACGGAAGGGTATTCGAAATCTTCCTGTGGCGAAATTGTTCACGCGTGTCGTAATTTCATAATTGTGTAATTCACTGAGCACGTCAAAGGCCGAGCATTATAATCTGGTAAGCTTCCTTCGTTGCCAGTCGCTCAAGCTCTTATAACGTTACCTCTACACTTGTATTCGTGCATAGACTACAAAACTGGAACCTTGCAATCGGTGTCATTCTGTAAGGCAAACGTTAGTTCAGTATTGTGCTTGGCTATTAGCTTTACGCATTTAAAGATACCTCATACAAGTGTAATACTGCAGTTAATCCTTCTCACAGGTGCATTCAGCAGTACCTGTACTGATTCCTTTGTTGATGATTATGAGCTTTTGACCGTTCATATCTTGCTACTTTGTGCAGGTGGTCGAACAAACAAAAAACGAAAAAACACAAGCTGATACACTGTCCGTTGTCTTGTCGCTCCAGTACTCCTCTGCCTTTCATGCCCGAGCCATGGCTGAGGAGTCTGGGTTTGCATTGCTCAAGAGGATTCTGTTGTCACCAGAGTGTAGGATTGGTTACCATACTCTTAAGGTATGTACGTCATAAGGATGCTGGACTTCGAGTTGAGTTGTCTTGGTTCGAGCTGTAGCCGGGGACATTGTGTTGTGTTCCTGGGAAAGACACTTTATTCTTACAGTGCCTCTCGTCACCCACGTGCATAAATGAGTACTAGCGAACTGTTTGGGCAACGTAATAAAATGGTGGGGAATATCTGCATTGTGCTACCGTCCCGTCCGGATGAAGAAGCAATTCTCCTCGGCACTTCTGAAAAGCAGAAGCCCCGCCCTCACTACGCTGGAGAAATTTTAAAACGCAGCTATATTTCTACGGTTAGTCCTACTGTCCACACTAATCCGTCACGAAAACGGAGCTTTTCGAAAACGCTCTTCAAACCGGAGGAATTTGAAAACGCCGGCTTTGCGTTTAAGTGTTGACGGAAAACGTTTTAAAACGGAGCTTTTTGGAAAACGATTACGCCACGGCGATTGTGTGATCTCCTTTCGCGAGTTTTCCTCAAACACAAATCCAAAATTACCGGTGACTGTCGCGTTTTCAAATTTCTCAGGGGTAGTGTGGACAGAAGACATTTGAAGCGTTTTCAGAGTGAAAACATCGTTTTCAATTTTCTCCGGCGCAGTGTGGATGGGGCCGTTTTCCATTTGTTTGAAGGGTTTAAGGACAAGGACAGTGTATATCTGAAGACATTTCTGATCAAGCTAAATTTTTCAATCTTCAGGTGTTGATGGAAGCTGCGTGCGATGGTGACGTATTCAAACCCACAAATCTTGCCGACGATCCCATCATGCTTAACATTGACTCCACCGCAGTGGTGCGCAATGTTGCCATTTTCCAGCATTTCCTGCTAAACTGGAAAATCTGGGAGAAAGCCAAACAAGGCGTGCTGGAAATGCTATTGGCTACCATAGATATCTTGGTGCACGGTAGTCACTGTTATTACACGTTCAATATCATTCAGTTCCAGAAAGCTCAGCTAGTTCAACAAATCCTGATTGGCTGTCAAGTGAGTTTATTTATAGTTAATAGGGGGGAATGGTTTTGAAACCCGGTAAACATCAAAGGAGTAATCAAAAATGCTAAGATTTATGCTGGAAGGTGCACGATCTTTTGTTTTGCGCTCATACACCATGCATGAATTATGTACAGAAATGTTTCTATTGGTTAGTTCCTCATGCAGTAGGAAACAACAATTGTGTGTGTGTGTTTCTTGTTTTGTTTTGTTTTTGTTTTGTTTTTTTTGCCCCGTCGTGGCCAAAAATGCGAACAGAAACGCGACAAAGAACTTTCAACAACCACAACAACATCTTTATTTTTCTCAATACAAATATAAATATTACAACATTATTTTTTTAGTATATGTAGTATGTTTCAGAGAAGGTAACTGCTGTGATCTTGTTTTAATGAAACTGGAGGCTAAATGAAGCGTTAAGTTTTCGCTAACCAAGTTATTGGTGAGAAGATCTAGCTGTTAGAGAAGATCGATGCTGTACATAACCTGGAATAATGACGTGACTGCGCTGAGAATCGTTGCGTTCTTTTTTCTTCAGGAGCGCCAGAGTGAAGGGTGTAAGGAGATTCCCCGAGTAATCAGTTCTTTGTACGTGAACATTATTCAGAACATCATGGGGAATCCCCCTGACCTAACAGTGCTGAAGGCCGTGTGTGAATTCCTTATTGCTGTTCACCCTACTGATGACATCACACGGCTGCATGCACCGAGCAGATGCTATCTTAGGGAGCACTCACTTGACTTTGGTATGTAAGCTAGATGCATGTAGTTATGGTGCAAGGCCTCGTTCGCGCTAGCGACATAACAACGACATAATGGCTTACGTCGGTAATATCAACATCGGCATTAAGAGATAAGGAAAAGATCATTCAGTCTTTTTTTCCTGGTGTCGTCATATTCCTGCTGTTTTGTTGCTATAATTACGTTATTTTGTCAGGATGTTCACACTGCAAACATAACGACATAAGGTCCTTCTGTTTTGTTTACGTTATTACGTCGTTATGTCGCTAGTGTGAACTAGACTTAAGCGTGGTTCTCTATTCAGGCCCTCTCATTTCCCCACCTTTGAGGATACCGAGGTGAAGAAAGACTCAGGTCAAGACAGCTGCCAAGGTGGTATTCTGCATTGGGTTGGCAGGTCGTAGCTCCATATTGGTGGCTTGTTCTATACTTAAAGGTGTTAAAATAACTGAGATTTTGTCTTTGCTTTACGTTTGCAACTGGTTAACATGCGATCATGTCTCCCCTTGTGCCCTAACCTGAAATTATCATCAGAAACTGTAACAACGGCGTTCCGCTAGACGAAGTATCGGTTCCGTTTTACACGTTCTGCGTCTTCCCAATTACGACTAAACATTTTTTTCCCTAGCCATTGATTCTTCTCACCGTTAAACAACGGTCGATAAACAGAAAAAAAAATAAACAATTGAAAGAGGGAAAAAAAATTATCACAACTGATATTATTGGTTGCAACCTCAGCAGAGTTGTTTTCTAATTATCAAGTTTATCTTTCTTTCAATTGTACAGTTCAAGTCTCCAACCGTTCATCTCCCATGGTAAGACGTGTCATTCCATCTCCTCGCACCGCCCCGGTCCGTTCGATTCACTCCACCAATCCCTTTCAGTTCACCGGCCCAACGAAGAGCGCATCAAAAAACGTACTGAGCCGCTCACTTAGTTTTGAGTCACTGGCAAACAAAGATCTGTCGAAGACACGTATGAACGTAGTTGGCGACATTCAGAATGTCCTGAAACAGGGACATCTTACAAGGACATCGTCGCTCAGTGTCACCGAGCTTAGCAGATCATTTTCAACAGGATTAGATCCAAGTTTACAACAGTATGGTAAATTTCTTGAGAAGAGAAAGGTAGCGACAGAAGAAAGAGATGTGTTCCAGTCGAGTGGCTCTACAGAGGCGACTTGTGGAAGCCAGGAGTCCTTGGCAAAAGAGGCGTTTGCTGTGCCAGGCGGAGACAGAAATCTCACTGTCACCATTCCACCGCGCAGAGGAAGTGAAGGACTGAGCAGCAGTGCTCTTGTGTTGCACGAGAGCCACGTCTTGGATCCTGACTCCAGGAACTCCCCTTCCCCCGTACGGAGTCCTGGGACCCCCCTGGGCATGTCGTATCCAGGGGTGCGCAGTATCCCAGGCAGCAAACCAGTGGTGATCAGAAGGTACGAGTCCACGCCCAGTAGAGAGGGACAATCCAGTGTTGATCTTATGGAGTACGACTTCATCAGCGAATCAGATTTCAGCTCTATGCGCAGCAGTGTGGCTAATCCCAGTTCCACTGATGATTATTTGGTGGTGGAAGGATTTCCTGGGATCCAGTCAAGTACAGTGTAAGTGCAGCTAGAGTTCTCTTTGTACACGTTCTTTGTACACTAACAGATGCAAAAATGTCACACTCCCACAGTGTCTCTCTCCACCCAGGTGTATAAATGGGTACCGGCGAATTTAATGCTGGGGGTAACTGTGATGGACTAGCATCCCATCCAGGGGGGAGTAGAAATACTCCTAGTGGCTTATTGCTACTGAAAGTGCCGGCCTGATGGACCACTTAGCTTGTATACAGACGGGACCAGCCAGAAGAGACACTGTCTTTTGTTGTAAACATATTTCCATCTGGATCGAGAAAGACGTCTGAAAATCGAGCCGAAAAATTTGTTATCGAAAACAAGGCGCCTCAGAAAGCCATGTATTGTTCTCAGGTTGTCACGTGCTCAAGGAAAGTCCTGACCTGGTAAGAACGCCTTCCTGTAATAACTTTTGCGTCCTGAATCTCTGAAAGATTTCTTTGTCCCCAGAAATGATTTGACTGAGCTATGAATTTTTATGTTTTTATTTCCTAATGTTAAAAGACACTATGGACGCAATATATTAACAGTAAGTGGAAAAAAGAAGAAATTCCTAAGGGCGATTTTTTTAAAATCAGTTTGTTGCATTATCCTCTTGTAGGACATATTGCCCGACTCGTTCAGACAGCTACACTCAAGGTGTCGATGCCATGATTAAACTGAGGTTAGGACTCATGAAACTACTGGAGATGAAACTGTTTAATCTGCCATCTGAGCACGTACCGGCGGTGATTGGAGAAGTGCTCAAGGCAGAGTACATGTTAGTGTGGGCCTACCATGATGCAGATAATGTCAGGGAGTTTGCCATCAGAGTAAGTCGTATTCCTTGACACTGTGACAGCGTCCACACTGCGCCGGAGAAATTTGAAAAGGCAGCTTTATTTCTACGGTTAGGCCTACCGTCCACACTAGTCCTTCACGGAAACGGAGCTTTTCGGAAACGTTCTTCAAACCGGAGGAATTTGAAAACGCCGGCTTTTCATTTTCGTCTGGACGGAAAACATTTTGACAATGGAGGTTTCCGAAAACGATGGCGTTATGATAATTGTGTGATTTCCCTGACCGAGTTTTCGTCAAACAAAAATCCAAAATGGCCGGTGGCTGTTGCGTTTTTAAATCTTCCCTGCGTAGTGTGGACGGAAAACATTCGGTGCGTTTTTAGAGTGAAACCTCTGGTTTCAGATCCCTGCGGTTTCAAATTCCTCCGGCGTAGTGTGGATGAGGCAGGTATTTCACAAACGTACCTACAGAAGGTACTTTCACACTAAGTCAATAAGTTAAAAGCGAGCATCGTCACATCACTTCCATCGCTTGTATTTGAAAGGTCACTCAGTAGGGCGTGATTTACGGACTAAGAATCAGGATCACCTTGTACAGCAAAATCAACATTGCTAAGTGAAAAATGCTGTTCGATTCCCAGACTAGGGTTTCATTCACAGACGAAACAGCCTTACGTTCAATGCATTTCATTTGAATGGTTACACACACTCGATAGTTTGGAAGTTAGAGGGTTAATGGTGACTTGAGACCTGTTCGTTTGTATGCAACAGCAGAATAATCGTTTAAGTCGTAACCCTTATACCATTGCTAATTCCGTTTAACAGTTAACACCGTGATGTAATTGGTCACTTCATTTACGCGTAGTCTTCAACTTTGGACATGAATTCTTTCAGATTCTGTTCCAGTATCTACAGAAAGCAGAACCCAAGCGCTGTGAGCAGTTCCTTAGGATCCATGGTTTCCATTTGTTGGCCAACCAGGTACATGTACGACAGTAGATGATTGAAAGATACTGCGTTGGTGTTCATTGTTTTCAATACTCGTTGCTTTTTTTAGGCATTTTGGCCTGATAATTTTTCACTCGCACTATTCTCATAAACATATCCAACAAAATGTAAAGAGGCGTACCAACGTGGCACATGGCCAAGAGGCTTGTTTTGCCTGGTGTTATGGAACTTGCTGCAATGCTATGTGTACTAGTTACTTCCCTCACAGATGTAATAGGTCACGGGTTCAACTGGGGACTGGTATATACAAGTAGTAACAATCTTTTATTAGGAAGCTCCATCACTAAAAGTGGTTTACATAGAGGTCCTAATACTAGATATATGCTATATAATGATACAATTAAAATCTATAAATTAGAGCTAAAACCGAAATAAATAAATATTTTCAACGTATACACTACAGAGATTAAAAAAAAAATAATAATAATAAATAAAAAAAAATAAAAAAAATAAAAAAATAATTAATTATAAAAAGCAGAAAAAAGACACTTCTTAAAAATTGGCAAACTTGCTGAGTTTCTTACAGTTCTCTTTAACTCATTTAAGTCTTTTAAACAGTGTTACCGTGAATTTTGTTTTCCCCAATTGTATTGGATTTTGGGGAGCTTTATAGTATCTTTATTGCGAGTATTGTAGGAGTGCATATCACTCTTTGTTACAATGTCCAAGGATTGATTAAGTTGGCCATTAGTACACTTGTATGCATATATACATCGATGACATTAAAATGATTAAAATTCAATTTCTCCTTTGAACATCATAACGTTGCCAAGAGGACAAGTTGTAAGGATTTAGGAACTCGTGAACTAGTCATTTTGAGGAATGAGAGTTCAAGCTGAGAACTGAAAGTATGACATCGTGTATTTGTCTATTTTCAAACAGAGGGGTTGATTAGGGACTGACTAACGGACGGACGGACGGACGGACTGACTGACTGACGGACTGACTGATTGTTACTGACGCGCAGTTCTCATCTTGGTTGTAGCTATATGATCACGCTGTGACAAAGCTGTTGATTGAAGGCTGCTTGTCATTGCTTGTGGATAGGCAGGTTGACTTGAAAAAGGACTAGTAAGTAAATAACACTTTCAAACTTGCTACGCTAAAGCAAAGCTCGTCATTTGTTACTAAATGAAGGCAAAGTACCAAGAACTGTATTTTGATCAAAGTATGTCCGGTGGTGACCTTTCGGTAAGTGGGGTCGGACCGGGAATCGAAAGGTCTCGGTTTAAGCCTTGCGCGGTTTCGTTGTGTCGTGTTCCTGGGTATGGTATTTCACTCTCACAATATCTCCACCCAGGGGTTTAAACAGGACATCTGAATTGTGAGAGAACCGGACAAAATATACTGGTGAATATTACCATGAAACGCTTCCCATCCAAGGAGAACTGCAGTACTCGTAACATCCTCGTGCTCAAAAAAATCGAAGAAAATTGGCAACTTTTTTGTACACACTTATCATTGTTAATAGCTGGTTTTCACACGATGTCACTAAAACTCGAACTACAAAACTATTGATCTTCCTGAGATGTTACTTCAATGAGGTATAAGAGCAGCTGAAAACTAATATTCATACAAATTTTCGCTCCGAATGGGTTCTTGGTTTTGTGATACACTACGCTTGAATTTTTAAGCTT